ATATTATATATTATATTATATATTATATTATATATATTATATTATATATTATATTATATATATTATATATATTATATTATATTATATTATATATATATATATATATATATATATATATATATATTGTATCATCCATTTTTAATATCATTCGTTCATTCGACGAAAAAAAGATCAATGTGTAGATATATTACGGTTATAAAAGTGAAAACACCAGTGAGGTGCATTAATTTCCCTTTCTCTTACCACGACCCGTCCCTTCTCTTATCCTTCGAAAGGGAGTACATAAGTATGCTACATACCTTGACCAGAAGGGAAACTCGTAATTTCGTCGTCTCGACTAAAGCGAAATTACAAGATTCTCCGATCATCTTTCGTAACTCGCGAGCCCGAATAAAGATGAAGAAAACAACAACAAAAAAAAAAAAGAAAAAAGAAAAAAGAAAAAGGCAAGAGAAATCATAAAGAAAAAGAAAGAAAGAAGAAAAGGAAAAGAAAACAAAAGAACGAATAAATGGAGAAAAAAAAAAGAAAAAAAAAAAGAAAAAAAAGTAAACAAACAAGCAAAATGAAAGCAAGATCTCTTCGAAGGAATGCACGTGAAGTAGCTACGAAAATCTTAATACCCGGCGTTGAGTTATGTCTGGCGAGATACATCGGGCATCTCTCTATCTCTCTCGATTCGCTGATCGAGCCGTCCTTAAATCTGTCATTCTTTCGACGTACGACGGGACAAGTAGAAGTCCAGTGGATGGATCCCAATGGAAGAAGAAGACGAAGAAGAAGACGACGACGAAGAAGAAGGAGAATACGAAGAAGAAGGTCTCAAAGAAAGGAGGTAAAAAGAAAAGGAAAGAGAGATAGAAGAAAGAGAGAAAAAGAAAAACCAAGACAAGAAAGAGACAAGAGAACGAAAGAGGAACTTTTGGTGGGGGGGGGGGAGAGGGAGGAGATTGAACGGGGTTAGTGGTGGGAGGAGGGATGGGGGAGGGAATAAAAAGGAACATTGCACGTCTTTTCTTCCAATGCATAAGCGTGCCTTGGTACAGGCATTAACCTCCCCCCTGTTCTTCTCTTTCACTATCTGTCTCTCTCTCTCTCTCTCTTTCTCTCTTTCTCTCTTTCTCTCTTTCTCTCTTTCTCTCTTTCTCTCTTTCTCTCTCTTCTCCCTCTTTCTTTCTCTCTTTCTCTCTCACTTTATTTCTCTATATTTCTCTTTCTCTGTCCTTCCTCTTCAGCGTGACTATAGTCACCGGATTCTCTTTTAGGGAGCGTGCTAAGGCTGCCAGATGAAAGTATATAACCGGTTCGCAGCTGCAGCCAGACCAGAGACTGGTCATCGGCACAACCGGCGAGAGCACAAGATCCAACACACGCGACAGACCGCACATACACACATACACATGATATGGCACATACTACGTGGCGCCAGGGGCGGATTCACCGGCTTCGACTTCACCTTCCACTACTGCTCTCTACTACCGGATAGTAGTCCATGCACAAAAAAGGAAGGATTAACGGAGCTCTTTGCCAGATTGCTCTGTTATCGCTTGAAAGAGAGAGAGAGAGAGAGAGAGAGAGAGAGAGAGAGAGAGAGAGAGAGGAAGAGAGAGGTGCTTCTTCCCTTCAACTTATTTTTCTTTCTTCATCTTTTCTACTCTGTTCACATTGGTACTGTGGTGAGCCAACAAATTTGTGTTAAGGATTCGCATGTCTTTATAACATTACCATTTTGAAAAATTATACTTTATTAATAATTGAATTTATATTAGAATTAGAATCTTTCGTTGTTAGATAAACGTTCGATAGTTGGATCAGAGTTCAGTAGTCAGTTCCTAAAGTAGTGAAAGTATAAAATGATTGGAATACCGACCTCTTCAAGGATGCATGTTTCTACCGTTATTACACAGCAATAAAAATATATACATACATATATATATATATATACATACATATATAGGTAGTAAGCTCGTTAACCAACTTTATTTGCCGTAAATTTTGATAGGGAGTAACGGATAGATGCTAGACGGTTATCGTTTACATTAGCATTCTATATCGAGAATATAATCGGGCATGACCGCGATTCGTGCTTGTTACGTTCAATACTTGACGTTGATTAGATTATGTATAACTCTCTCTCTCTCTCTCTCTCTCTCTCTCTCTTTCTCTCTCTCTCGCTCTTTCTCTCTTTAATATGGAGATAAAAAAAAAAAATTATAAAATATTCGGCTAATCTATAATGTTAATATCTTGCAATTGAACAATTATGTATCGTTCGTTTTATTTCAAAGACAATCCAATAACATCTTATTTACGAAAATATTAAATACAATGTTATTAATTGGTTCAATCGAGAAATCATTTTTTTTTGATTCATCGAATACGATATCCTTACGGTTGTCTCCCTTTAAAGTCCAAAGAAATGAGCTAGCGAATTTGCTTAATATTTCCTGATATCGTCGGATTAAGTGTTCTCGAGTTCAGTGGCCACTGAAATTTCATA